ACTTCATTTGGTCTTTACCGTAATCCTGGGAGGTAGGTACTTTTATCTCCAATTTGAGAAATGGGGAAGCTGAGGTGAATGCACAGCTAGCAGGTGACAAAGTCAAGATCGGATGCAGGCCTCGCTGCCTGCTCCCAAGGGCCACTTTCTTTGCATGCTAGCACTCTGCCTCCGTGGGCTCCCAAGGAGGGGAAACCAGGTGCATTGGTCAGAGTTCTCCAGAGAAATATATATATATATATATATGCTTATATACATACATATACAATATCATATTAATATATTAATCAATATAGCTAGTATATAATATTAATATATTTATAGATAGATCTTAGATTTATTTCAAGGAATTGGCTTTTGCAATTGTGAGGATTGGCAAACCCAACATCCACAGGGCAGGCCATCAGACTGGGAACTTCTGGGAAAAACTAAAGCTGCAGTCCTGAGGCAGAATTCCTTCTTGCTCAGGGAAGCCTCAGTTTTGTTCTTAAGGCCTTCCAGATGGTTAGGTTAGGCCCACTTAGATTATTGAAGATAATCTCCTTTGCTTATAGTGTACTGATTGTAGATGTTAATCACATCTACAAAATACCTTTCCAGCAACTCCTAGATTAGTACTGATTGAATAACTGGGGATTGGGGCACCTGGGTGGCTTAGTCAGTTAAGCCTCTGCCTTCAGATCAGGTCATGATGCCCCTGCTGAGTGGGGAACCTGCCCACTCTCTTTCTCTCTCTCTTTCTGCCCCTCCCCCTGCTCGTGTGCGCTCCCTCTCTCTCATTCTGTGCTTTCTCAAATAAATAAATAAAATATTTAAAAAAAAATGAATAACTGGGGATTATCACCTAGTCAAGTTGACCCATAAAACTCAGCATCTCACAAGGAATACTTGTTTACTGATAGGGCCATTCTGCTGAAGATGAAGACAGCTTGCCATGCGTGGCTAGAGCTACTTGGTAGTAGATGGACTTCTGCAAGTGGGTCCTGCTCACCCCTGTGGGCAATTCAAGCTGGTCAGGAGCTGGGAGAAAACATGTGCTCTGTAAACTTTGTAAACTTTTAGCCAAAATGTAGTATATGTTTCCTCACTGGGAAGATGACAGGAAAACTCGAGGAGCTTGATCGTTGCAGAAGATAGGGAAATGGTTTGTCACAATGCTGATAGAGAGGTTTGTGGCTTCTATGTGATGATTAAACACAAAATGCCACATGGCCTGGGTTTGCTTCGCAGCTGCTTTCTTTCATTGATCCTGATATCTTGGCCACTGGAGTAGAATCCCAGGACCCCCACTCTGCAGGGGCATCCCCCCACACACACCCACCCACCATAGAGTCTTCCGCCACTTTCTCAGAGACCAGCCTATGAATAGCTCTACTTCATTGCTCTCTCTCATGGTCCAGTCATCGCCGGCTCAGTGGTGAGGCTGGAGGCAAAAGTCACTGGCACAGAAGGAAGTAAGGTATCTCATCTCTCTCTTGCAAAGCCCGAAACAGCGACAGGACTGTCCTCTTTGCCGAAGCTTCTGGTAAAGGCATTAGAATTTTTTTTTCCTTCTGGTTGTGCCCATCCTTGAGACCAGACACAGAGGGTGACTTCCTCCATTGCTGAGGGCAGTGTGTGCCCTTGGAGACTCTTAAGACTGCTCTTTCAGACTGTGTTTGGGGTCAAGGGGATGTTTAAATGGAGGGGAGCTCCTATTAGTTACACAATGGAGCCCGTTATAACATATCCATTCACCTCTCTGGGAGGCCACTAGTCTTTTTTTTTTTTTTTTTTAAGATTTTATTTATTTATTTGACAGAGAGAGACACAGCGAGAGAGGGAACACAAGCAGGGGGAGTGGGAGAGGGAGAAGCAGGCTTCCCGCCGAGCAGGGAGCCCGATGCGGGGCTCGATCCCAGGACCCTGGGACCATGACCTGAGCCGAAGGCAGACGCTTAACGACTGAGCCACCCAGGCGCCCCGAGGCCACTAGTCTTAAAGAGGCTCATGGAGATGGAGGGGAGAGGACTGTGGCCATACCGTGTGCATCATGTCTCCCCTCTTGACCCCTCCTGGCTTCCACAGGGCAAAAGTGGACTCATTGCTTTGACAACAGTAGAGGGATTCTAGGTATTTCCAGAAGCAACTCTGGATCCAGGCACACAGAAAGGAAAAGTCTCCTTGAGCTGTTTCCTGGAAGCATGGGGGGCAACTCATCGATGTGCTCTTCAGGATTCCAGCCACCTTCTTCCAAATGAAGTGACACAGGTGCCAGGTGCTGTAAGGCTCATCTCCTGCCCTGGAGGGCAGGGAACCGAAGCTTGGGAGCAGAGTCTGTCTCCCATCCATCTCCAGTTTCCCATGCTTACTCCAGCTTTTTCCTTCTTGGATGGTGGAAACTCCTCCAGATGTCAAAGCTTGCTGTGAATAAAGCTGTAAAAGGGAGGTCATGTATCCAAATCAAAGTATGTGTATTTCTTCCTGGATTGAAAGTGACTACAATCACCAGGATGGGAAATCATCATGAAACCTTAACACCCAACTCAGAAAAAAAGGGCCAGATCGGGTTTGGGGGATCGAATGTGTAAGTGGGGGGGAGTCAGGTCATAGAAGCAAAAATCACCTTCCAGAGACTGCAGACAAGTCAGGGAAGCTGCGACTGATGTTAATGACCTTGTTTTGAACTGAAGTCACATGCAATGTTTTCACCATAAATTTTTCTTTTATTTTTTAACTCATCACTCCAAGTTTTGCCATTAAGTAAGTAAGTATTGCCCCAAAACTCTCCCTCATCTGCTAATGGGTAATGCTTCTTTCACGTGATCTCATATGTTTCCACATCTCCAAGAACATGGGGGAAGGATTGAAGAGGATGGGGGGGACTCTGGGTTCCAGGGCTGGGAGTGTAGCAGGAACAAATAAAGTGGAGGAAAACCTGGTAGGCACCTACCACCCTTGGAAGCCAGTCCATTTCTTCTGAGCCCACAGCCAAGCCAATGTACCTGCTGGTGGTGGGGCAGCCAGCAGGCAGCAGGCTTTCATTGTGGGTTTCACCTCTGCCACAACCCCAGAGTGGCTAAGAGCAGGCTCTGAAATTCACCAATCCACTGTTTCTCAAAAGTAGGAATCCTTGACCTCTGGGGGGAAACATAGCTGTTCCTCAAAAAGAGAAGTTTTAGCTTAGTCATCCACACTGCACAAAGAAAATGAAACTCACACTTAAAACAAGGAGTAACAAAGTATTCAACAATCACTGACAGATTTGTTTATGTATTTCTTACTGTTTATGCTTTGCTTAATCCCTTCTGAGGCAAAGAGCCACTTTTTTTTTTTTTTTTTTTTTTTAGTTGACAGAGAGAGACACATTTATTTGACAGAGAGAGAGGGAACACAAGCAGGGAGAGCGGGAGAGGGAGAAGCAGGCTTCCCGCCGAGCAGGGAGCCCGATGTGGGGCTCAATCCCAGGACCCTGGGATCATGACCTGAGCTGAAGGCAGACGCTTAACGACTGAGCCACCCAGGCGCCCCCAAAGAGCCACTTTCTTGCCTGTTCCTTTGCCTCAATGGCACAGGAAAGAAGTCTTAAAAAACAGCACCTTACTCCCTGAATTATCAGTTTCTTCCCTGACCTAGATTTCCCGGGTGGAGACTGGATACTGGAAAGTAGTGAAGCCTGTCACCATGACAAGTTTGCACTTTATTCTGCAGGTAACCAGGGATGTTGAAGGTGTGTGCCTGCCTTTTTCAACAGGCATGTCAGGATCCCTGCAGCAATACCTTTCAAATGCTCCACCAGACGGGAATAATGGGAAGCTGGGAGACCATAAATGTTATTCCCAGAGTCCAGATGAGAGATACACCATAATCTTAAACATCTAGACCAGTGTGGTTTAATAGATATGTAGTGTGAGCCACATGTGTAATTTTTAATATCCCAGTCGCCGTATTGAAAAAAAAAGGAAAAAGAGTGGTGCCTGGGTGGTTCAGTGGGTTAAAGTTCTGCCTTCCGCTCTCATCCAGTCCCACGTTGGGCTTTCTGTTCAGCGGGGACTGCTTCTCTCTTACTCTCCCTCTCTTCTCTCTCTCTCTCTCTCTCAAATAAATAAATAAAATCTTAAAAAAAAAAAGGAAAAGGAAGTATGTAAAATTAATTTTAATAATATATTTCACCAAATATATCCAAAATATCATTTCAACATGTAATAACAATTATTAATAAGTTATTTTACCATATTGCTGTAAGTCTTAGAAATGTGGGTGCCTGGGGGTGTGGGAGGATGGGTTAGCCTGGTGATGGGTATTAAAGAGGGCACGTTCTGCATGGAGCACTGGGTGTTACGCACAAACAATGAATCATGGAACACTACGTCAAAAACTAATGATGTAATGTATGGTGATTAATATAACAAAAAAAAAAAAAAAGAAATGGGGTGCCTGGCTGACTCAGTTGGTTAAGCCTGGGACTCTTGATTTCCATGGAGGTCATGATCTCTGGTGGTGAGATAGAGCCCTGAGCCCCCGCGGAAGATTCTCTCTCTCCCTCTCCCTCTGCACCATTGCCGGCCTTCTTCCCCGCACTTGTGCACGCACTCTCTCGCTCTTAAAAAAAAAGAGAGAGAGAGAGAAAGAAAGAAAAAAGAAATGCGGTGTATGGATAACTTAACAGCACATGTCAATTCCTTCACTAAATTTTAAGCGCTCAAAGGGAAATGTGGGTCTGCCAAAACAATAAAGTTGTTTAACAGAAAAATATTCCAGACTGCTTCAATTTTTAATACAAATTAACTACAATTAATTACAATTTAAAATTCTGGTCGTCAGGCACACGAGCCGCATTTGAAGTTTAACAGGCACAGATGGCTACAGGAGAGCAAGTCTGGACTGCAAACACGTTCACACCTTGCACCCCACCTTGGAAACGGCGGGCCCTGCAGTTCTGGACGTGTTCACCAGATGGCACTAAAGCTAACACACCCTCACCAGCTCGAGACAGGCGCCCAACCCCGGAAGCGAAATCCCACGGTTGCACGCAGTTTCCTCCGGCTTTCTCCGCCTCCGGATACACCGTACCTGATCTGGGGTCCGAAAGCGTGCAGCCGGGCAGGATGGGCAGGAGAGCAGAGCCGCGGGGTCTGCAGAGCGAGTGAAGAGCTGTGAGCAGGTCCCGGTGTGCCACGCGGAGCCACGCAGGTGGGCGCGCAGACCCGGCGTCCGACCGCGCGGACGGCAGAGCCCCCGCCTGAGAGCGCGTCGCCTGGCCACTGCTGCCGCGTCGCCTTCTCCCGCGAGGTCGCTAGCGCTGGGCCCGAGCTTCCACCAACGGCACCCAGAGCCCGGCGTCCTCTCCAATGTTTCAGAAGTCACGCCCGGCGCTGCTGCAGCCTCAAGATGTCGGAGACAGGGTGGAGACGCTTATGGTAAACTGCGGGGAAGGGACACAGGGGTTCCGGAACCGCCGGCTCGTGGAGGGAGATTCTCGGGAGTAGCCAAGGGTCAGCGGCTCTCTGGGAACCTTTTCCGCTCCCTGGGTGTGCACAGAACAGGTTGGGGACGTGGCGCGAGAGGGATGGATTGATCAAGGGGAGTGAAAAGGGAAGGGCGAGGGAGGAGAGGAGTTGCAGCCCCCTTGGGACAGACAAGCGACGGTCTCGCTGCTGCTTTGGCGTCCGGGTAGAGTGGGCGGAATTGCCGGGGCCTTGCGAGTGCGAGGGAGTGTGCCGGTGCGACCCTGAACAACGTGCGAGCGCTACCGGATGATGCTTTGAGTTGGATGCCTAGGGCGACAGAGGTGGAAGGACGCTCGGGCAGGTATTTGGACCATCGCAAGGCCCGGTGGTCGCGCCAAACCTGAGAAGCGGTGGGTGCCCGAGGGAGGTGAGTTAGGACCGCACTGGGCACCGGGCGGGGAGGGAGGACACCTGGGTCTCCACCTCCTAGCGGGTGAGGAACTGGTGGGGCTGGTGGCGCCGCGAGGCCACGCCCCTGAGTCTGGATTGGCTGCCGCGGTCGTGCCGCCGGGCCTCCATTGGTGGAGGCGGAGGCGGGGCTGGGCAGGCGGGTCCCGGAGGACGGTCTGGCTGAGTAGCCGCTGGCTGTGGGTGGAGGCGGGAAACGCAGGACTAAGCCGCGAGCGCCGCGGGTCGCCGCCCCGTTCGCTCCGAGGTCGGGTCCGCCGACGCGGGCGGGCGGGGTGTGGGTTGTTTTTTTAATCGCCAAAAAAGGTAGCGGCTGCGGCTCCACTTTACATCTTTGAAAATGTGCTTAACCTACTTCTCTTTCTGGGTCCTCCAGCTCTGGCCTGGAGACTTGTTTGGATTTAGTTTTTTTTTTTTTTTAATTTTTTATTCTTATGTTAATCCCCATACATTACATCATTAGTTTTAGATGAAGTGTTCCATGATTCCTTGTTTGTGCACAACACCCAGTGCTCCATGCAGAACGTGCCCTCCTCAATACCCACCACCAGGCTAACCCATCCTCCCACCCCCCTCCCCTCTAGAACCCTGCTTGTTTTTCAGAGTCCATCGTCTCTCATGGTTCGTCTACCCCTCTGATTTCCCCCGCTTCATTCTTCCCCTCCCGCTACCTTCTTCTTCTTCTTTTTTTTTTCTTAACATATATTGCATTATTTGTTTCAGAGGCACAGATCTGAGATTCAACAGTCTTGCACAATTCACAGCGCTTACCAGGGCACATACCCTCCCCAGTGTCTATCACCCAGTCACCCCATCCCTCCCACCCCACCCCCCACTCCAACAACCCTCAGTTTGATTCCTGCGATTAAGAATTCCTCGTATCAGTGATTTAGTTTTTTAAAGGGAATTAAGAATTGCTTGTGTAAGAATTGCTGTTTGCTAACTACTTAAGTACTATTTACTGCCTTTGTATACTGTGTATTATTCGGTTGTTTTTGCCCTCCTCCCTCAAAAAACGAAATTGTTACTCATCGTTTTTACCTTGAATAACTTTAGGCTATTTTCACCCCTGGGGGCCTCCGCTTAGATCTCTGCTGTGGCAAAGCCCCTAATCCCTCCATTGGCATTCAGTGCTCCTCTTCAGTACTTAGAAAAAAAATCAAACATGCCTTCAAAGGATGTTCCATGTGACAACATCTTACTATTCAAAATGAAAAGTGTAAATTCTGTTTTGTTTTGTTTTTAAACAATGATATTACCTGTTGTATGTGGGGGTTTTTGTTTTTTGTTTTTGTTTTTTAACTAGTAGAGGTTAGTCTCTCCAGCTGGTATATGTTTAGCATCTACTCTGTGCTAACTGACCAAGAAGATTACAAAATTAAAAAAGTTGTGGGCTCTAGGCATTTATTCAACAAATATTTATTAAACGAATGATATGTCCAAGCATTGCACTGTGAAAATAAAGACATAAAATAATTCCTGCAATGAGGGAGGGTGGGTGTGTTGGAGCATGTGTGTGAAGGACCTCAGCCTTAAAACAAACTCCGTACAATACCTGTGGGAGTGTTGGGGAAGCAGCACGGAGAACTGCACAGAAGCTGTTAACTATTTGTCATGCACACAACCTTGCCGGAGCAAAGGGCTGAAGGGAGCCTGGGGAGATTACCCTTTCCAGGGATGGGCCATGCAGGGCTCACTAAGCTTCAGCCTATGGAATTGTGCTCAAGGGAAAGCCATATGCAGATTCCCTGCAGATGACATGATTCATTCATTTTTGACTCTTGGGCACCTACTGTGCACCAGGCTCCGTGGTCAGTGCTGGAGGTACCATCGTGAACAGGACAGGTAGTGGCCTCTTCTGTACTGGATCCTAAGGGAGATGGGCTCAGATGCAGTGGAAGTACTGAGGAGCACTGAATGCCAATGGAGGCATTAGGGGCTTTGCCACAGCAGAAGAGATCTAAGCAGAGGCCCCCAGGTATGAATCAGACATGGGAGGAGCCATGTGGCCTCGAACCCTGTGACGTAGGACACATTCGTGACCTCTGTGAGCTCCAATTTCTTTCTTTCTTTTTTTTTTTTTTTAAGGATTTTACCCATTTATTTGACAGAGAGAGACACAGCGAGAGAGGGAACACAAGCAGGGGGAGTGGAGAGGGAGAAGCAGGCTTCCCGCTGGGCAGGGAGCCCGATGCGGGGCTCCATCCCAGGACCCTGGGACCATGACCTGAGCCGAAGGCAGACGCTTAACGACTGAGCCACCCAGGCGCCCCTGTGAGCTCCAATTTCACCTGTAAAATGGGTTTAAATACCTAGCTTTTAGGAGTGTTGTGAGATCTCGAGGGGGTGTACATAGATGCCTTACCCAGTGCGGCTCCGGGAGCTCGGGAGGGTGGGTTAGTAGGGTTGAGGCTAGAGACTGCCAAGGAGGTCACTGGAATAGATCGGTGTGGGCCGGCTCCAGCAACACTGGGGGCTCATCAGCAGGACTGGGTCATGAAGCCGTAGGTACAGTGAGGAGTTTTATTTGTCTCCCAAACTTGCGGCAGGAATATCTTATGGATTGGAGTAGAGGCAGGAGTGTGGTGAACTATTGACTGGGTTTCCATTTGGGAGTGAGTCAGAGCAGCCTGGGGGCCTCTCAGAGAGGGGGTTGTTGGGCCTTACGGGCTGCGGGCACGGTGCCCTGTGGTGTGGGTGAGGTGGCCTGAGGGGCTGTGGCCGGCGGAGATAAGAAGAGCAAGGTCTGAGGCTGAGGGAAAGAAGCAGCCTGAAAAGGAGCCCAAAACCAGCTGTTTGAAATGCACCGGAGCAGCCAAGTAAGAGGCCTAGGGCTGGAAAGGGCTCCCGGGATGGGCAGGTCCTTGGTGAGCAGGAGGGGCAGCTTTAGCTGGATGGCAAGTGGTGGGGGCTGACTAGCCCACGGGGAGTGGAGGTGATGTGGCTTGGGGCTGGAAAGGCAGGGGCTTTGCTTAAGATACCAATGGAAGGATGAGCCCTAGAAGCACAGACTCACGGGAATAGGGCTTAGCATTAGCCACCCCCCACCCCCTTGGGGGACAGGGAATGGCGTGCTGACAGACTGGCGAGGTAGACACATTTTGCTTGGTTGTATGCGTTGTGTTACCACTTTTGTCATCCCTGGATACTTGACAAGCCATTTGAACAGAGTTATGACCTCCAGGATTACGTGAATTTTTTTAAGTCTTTTAAGTGGTTCCAGTTCTAATTTGAAACTTGCTCGTTTGGTAGAAATGTGGAGTGATCCCTGTGAAACAAAAAAAACACAGGTTACGAGCATTTTAGTTCTGGGTTGGTGGCTATATGGGTATAACCAGCAACTTCATCTTCCGAGCGTCTTAGGACAACAGTTGTCCATGCATTCAAGAATAATAGTCCGAGTACCATTTAATGAGGAGAGAAGATCTTTTTGGATGGAGTTTGCCAAGCTGCTTGTTTGGAGAAGAGCGCTTTTCTTTCCTCGTTGGGTTTTTAAACGTGCCTTTTCACAACCATTTGTGATCGAGTGGATTCTGAGGCAAGCCGTGAGGCCTCTAGCGTGGTGGGCTCAAGGAAGTACATTTAGTCTTTGCCCTTCCAGGTGGTGCCTCTAGATTAGCCAGGGTGTGCAGCTGGCCTGGTTTAAGGGAGAGCCAGCAGACCCAGGGGTAACGGGTGGCTGCTGGTCTACCACACCATCTGCGATCTGCTTAGGTCCCAGTGAGAGGCGTGGGTATAGGAGAAAGGGAAAGCTTTTAAGTTAAGGAAATTCATAGGTTTCACAGGGAGTGGTCCATGTTTTACATTGAACCTGAGCTTATGGTTTCACTTCCTATGTCTCGTTCCTGTAAATATCTACAGGTCCCATAACCAAGAGAGCCTGGCAACCAACAGTTTAGACACTAGGTTCAGTTGATTTTGCTTCTGTGAAGATAAGGAGATGGCCAATAACTTTTAGCCTCAGGACAGAGAGGGAGGTATAGTTGGCAGCCTAATTCACAGATGAACATAGACATGCTGCTCAGAAGGATCCTCATTGCTCATTCTCAGTCCTAAGGCCAGAGAGATCCCCTCCAGCTGGGTATTATGTTCTCCGCAGGGCATTCCAGCGCTGTTAATTCCTGGGTTCACTTTTCCCTTCTCTGAAGTGGGAAGATAATACAGGGCACCAACAGGTGGTTTCCTAAGCCACCCTTACAGATGAAATGACTGGTCTCGGTGTGTAGAAAGCTGAGGCCCGCGGCCGCAGAGTTGCTGACTCAGTGTTCTCTTGCCCTGAAGTTGCATCCGGTGATCAAGGCTTTCCTGTGTGGCTCCATCAGTGGGACCTGCTCCACCCTCCTTTTCCAACCCCTGGATCTCCTCAAAACGCGTCTGCAGACTCTTCAGCCCTCAGCCCATGGGTAAGGCCAACTGCCCCCCGTTTCTTTGAGGAACCGGTTTCAACAACTTCTCTCAGACATAGCAGCATCTCAACTGTGTTAACTGCTGTTCTGTTGGATGCTTCAAGAGAAGCACATTTCCTGCTAATGATTCTCTGGGGGCACCTTCCTGGGATCTGCCCTGATGACATTTGCATTTTATTGTGCTAGCCTGTAATGTCATACAGTGCTGTCTGGTACGAGTAGCGTGGGTGATTTTCTGGAAGTAACGTGTGTATTGAGTGTCTCTTTTATGCCCCACAATGGGCTTAGCACTGTGGGAGGTATACCAAATGCATGTAACGTGAGAGGTCATCCCATTGCTTGCGGTGTGAATCAACAGATAAAACACGTATGTGCCAAATCATGAACATATGGGAACTCAGTTATTCCAAGATGTGTTGTAGGGATTCTTTTTTTATTAAAGATTTTATTTATTTATTTATCTGAGAGAGAGAATGAGAGAGAGAGCACATGAGAAGGGGGGAGGGTCAGAGGGAGAAGCAGACTCCCTGCTGAGCAGGGAGCCCGATGCGGGACTCGATCCCAGGACTCCAGGATCATGACCTGAGCTGAAGGCAGTTGGTTAGCCAACTGAGCCACCCAGGTGCCCCTGTTGTAGAGATTCTTGAGTGCTCTTAGGGAAGAAGTCATACAAAGAAGTCTTTGGATGGGAAGTTCTTTTATGAGGATGGGGTCTAAGTGATTTTTTTTTTCTTTCTTCCCTGCCTCCATTTTGTCTGCTTTCAGATCCGGACGCATTGGGATGCTCGCTCTGCTCTTGAAGGTGGTTCGTACGGAGAGTATTCTGGGCCTTTGGAAAGGGATGTCCCCTGTAAGCTGCCTTTTGGGTCTTCTCCTGCACCCTCTGCTGTCATAGCTAGCCCTTTCTCACGCACCTCACATATCCCCTCTTGTAAGGATAGATGAGCGCTGGAAGCGGTGGGAGGACTTACATGGTCTTCTCCCCGTCTCATGCTACTGCTGGCTCCTATTAGAGGGCTCGGGGAAATAGCTTTATGCCCTAGATGCAGCTTGTTGGAGCAGTAGCAAGTCTAGAGCAGATGCAGCTGGTGCCCCCAGCTGCCGGCGTATCCTTGCACTTGCCCTCCGATGCAAGCAGGCCACACGTGAGGTTCTTCACCTGCAGGCTTTTTCTGGCCCTAGGAACTCAATTTGCTGGGAGCGCCCGGGCATGAATCCTTACCCCAGCTAAGTGGAAGATGACAGTTGATGTTTCAGAACCTCACTCACCCTCCTCAGCTGGAGGGCCAACTCTGAGGTGTGCCCTGTACTGATTCCCAGAGTTCCCCCCAAAGGGATTCCGTTGTCCAGGGCAGTAATGAGTTAGGTAGCCTGCCCTTCGTGGGCTGCCTTCTCTCGTCACTTCCCCATTCTCTTATTGGCGTTCCCTCCACACCTTCAATCAGCTACTTGGATGCAAATCTCTGTCTTTTGGGAAAACCCAGCTAAGACAGTATCTTACAGTGTCGGTCTGGGATTTCTTTCCTCCCTCTGACTTGTTCTGCAGTCTATCGTGAGGTGTGTCCCTGGCATTGGCATCTACTTCGGCACTCTCTACTCCTTGAAGCAGTACCTCCTGCGAGGCCACCCCCCCACGGCCCTGGAGTCGGTCATCCTGGGAGTGGGCTCTCGCTCGGTTGCAGGGGTCTGCATGTCACCCATCACTGTGATCAAGACACGTTACGAGGTGAGTCCGACTGCTTTCGGCCTTCAGGGTGGGTAGACAGAGGCACTGGGCTTTTGTCAAATGGCCACCGATGTCAACTCCGGATTTAGAATCCAAAATAGAGGCCGCTGTGGTCAGAGAACGCAAGCCACATGGGAACCAGAGCCCCTGGTGCCTGGTAATGCCACGTACCCCGAAGTCAGGTGGGTTCGTTGCTCAAACCCAGGGCCGCCGCGCCAGCCACTGGTTCTGTGCTTCTTTGCAGAGCGGGAGGTACGGCTATGAGAGCATCTATGCAGCCCTGAGGAGCATCTATCGCAGTGAGGGGCGCCGGGGACTCTTCAGCGGCCTGACGGCAACACTCCTTCGTGACGCACCCTTTTCTGGAATCTACCTGATGTTCTACAACCAGACCAAAAACATCATGACCCATGGTATGGATGAAAGAAGGTGTGGTGGGGAAGAGCTATCTCCAAAACCTCATATCCTCACCACTTGCTCTGCGATCGGAGCCTGTTTGTTGATCTTAGCAGAGCTTTAGGAATGGAACCATGTCGGCCTCGCATCAAGCATCGGGCCGGGTGCTAGGATGCAGTGGTGGGCGTGACAGACTTGGCCCCTGCCCGTTGGAGCATATAGTCTAAATTTGCCTTTAGTAAATTTAGTAGTTTGGTAGTACTGTAATTCTTGGGTGGGGTGGGGGAGGTATAAAGCATGTTTTGCAATAAAACCTCGCAGATGTGCCTGATTCTTTAGATTGCTGGGTCCCACCCTAGGGCCTCCTAAATCGGAAACTTTGGGGGAAGACCTGGGAGTCAGTGTTTCTCAAGAAGCACTTGATCTGATTCTTATCAGACAAGTTTGTTGAGGTTAGGGAGGTTAGCACCTCCCCTTGCCATGTTCCCAGTTAAAATGGTTTTGAGCCCTCTATTTGGGTGGAGAGAAGGTGCCGGACCTCAGGCATTCTGGCAGACCCATGCTGCCAGGAAGCTCAAGTTGGTCATGACAGGGGCACAATCAGTGGGCTGTGAACATCTACCCAAGCAGAGCCAGGTTCCGATAGAAACACATCCTGTGGAACGAACCTGCATTCAATAAGGTGTCTCTGGAGAATTTGAGCAAGGAAATGCAACCAAGGTCGTGTAAGTGGAAAACCGGCATGCTCCCATCATGACAATGGTAATCAAGTAGAGTTGGGGTGCTTTAGGAGTTTGCTGCTCCACCACAGGCACCAGGAGGCATGACACTGCAGGTCACAGCCTTATTTTGCCACAGAAAGTTAGGGCAATGGGGGAGCTTAGTGTACATTTTTGACCTCTCTTTATGTGTAATTGTTTATTTCAGTCCATTTAACAGTAAGTTGCAGGAGTGATGCCCCTTTACCCTTAGATACCTCCATGTGTGTTTCCTAAGAACAAAGATATTCTCTTAGAGCCATCTCCTCAAAATTAGGAAATTTAACATAGATACTGTTCTTTAGTCTCCAGTGCCTATATCGGGAAGCTCGTGACATTGGTTTGACTATTGTGGGCGATGTTTAACTTTTTATCACTTGGACAAGATGGTGTCTCCAGTGAAAACTCTTTTGTAGTTGGGAAACACCTGGGGTGGGGGGGAATACTTTGAATCTGTATAAATCTATATAAAACATCCTGTTCCTTTCACCCCAGTGTTTGAGCCTCAGTTAGTGATTCTTTCCCAAATCAATTATGATGGTGATGGTTGTAAAAAAGGGCAGATTTTAACTTATGACTCCCATCCACATTTAGTTATACCTTTAAATGTTTACTTCTTAACCCTGTTTGAATCTAGACCCTTCTGACTTTGCGGAAGAATTACTGGGCAACTTGGTATTGATATTTATGTGATGAATGTGAGATTCGTTTGTCACTGAATGTTGCCTTTGTCCTGTTTCAGACCAGTTGGATGCAGTCCTTATTCCTGCTGTAAATTTCAGCTGTGGGATCTTTGCTGGCATTCTGGCCTCCCTGGTGACTCAGCCTGCCGATGTTATCAAAACTCATATGCAGCTCTCCCCAATGAAGTTTCGGTGGATTGGCCAGGCAGTGACACTCATTTTGAAAGTAAGGCTATGGAGTAAATATTGCTTCTTATTGTGGTTAAGGCTCTCTCTCACTCTTTCTCTAGAATGTTAGCGCATGTCCTTTACACATTAGAATCAGCTGGGGAGGTTTAAAAAGTCCCCACCCCCAGGTCACAACCTGGGCTGCTTCTACCTGAATCTCTGAAGGGGGGGTGAAGCCAGATCAGTAGCTAAGTTCCCCTGCGATTCCAAAGTGTTGCCAAGGTTGAGGATCACTGTTAAAAACCTATGGTTGGCCATGGGTTGTTTTTGTTTTTTTGTTTTTTGGGGGGTTTTTTGGTGGTGGGTGGGGGGAACTGACTACATTAGGACAACCTGTGATAACTAGTTAAACTTGGCAGATGGCTGGACTCCACCCCAGACCTATCAGGTCAGGCATTCTGGGAGGGCCTAGTCAGCTGATGACCAAGGACCTAGGAGGAACTCAAGTCAGAAAAAAATCACACACAAATTATTTGTCTCTAGAAATTTGCTCTAATGCAAATAGACAAAAGGTATTATTAAAGATAAAAAGTACAGGAGACATAAAGTACACTTAAGCACCATTTAAAAGCCACTGAGTTGGTCCTTTGGAAGCATGCACTGTTATCACATACCAGATATTCTTGTTCAAGCTAAGTTTGTCCCTACATTTTTATATTTTTCTGTACGTCTCAGTTTTTCTACGTAGCAGAGGAAACAATGTGAGCATACGCATCATGTATCTGTCTCGCCCTAGATATAAGCAAATATTTTTGAATCTGATCATATTTCTCACCCTGCTTGGGTTGCCTGCCTTCTTATTCTCTATACCTAAAAGCCTAAACTTTGAAAATAATATTCTTCAGTATGTATGAAAATGGCAGGAATGATAACGATAGGAATGAATAAATCAGTCCAGATTATGAAGGAGGAGTTAGAGGTGTTTTGTCTTTAATGCTTATGTAGGATGACAAGAGCATACAATGAATTATGCAAACTATGCAAAGATGTTTCCTCCAGGCAGACAAATTGCCAAAAAGGCACCTTTTCCTCCAGCCTGGAGCCAGGGCCCAGGGCTTGGCATGCAGACTGTGGCCTGGATTCTCGGCTGCCATTTGGGGCTTGGTGCTTATGGGAGCTGCACAAGCTATCCAGCTGTATATGGCCACCCTGTAGAAAGATTTTCAGCTGAGAAATAAATTCTCCTGGATAAAGCAAGCCTAAAAAGATAAAGTTTAGCAAAAAATGATGCAAAAAATGATTTTTTTTTTTTTTTAGTTCATCGTCTCCTTGGATCCATTATTCATAGTTTTGGTATTATCTATAAAAATCCAAAACCTGAGGCTCACAAATGGGGTAACAGAGACCCTCAGTCTCACACTAGGTGTGTTCATTGTTTTGCTACTCTGCTTCCAGACTGTTCACATCCGTTTTCCTCGTAGGATTATGGGCTGCGTGGCTTCTTCCAAGGCGGCGTCCCCCGGGCCCTCCGCAGAGCTCTGATGGCAGCCATGGCGTGGACCGTGTATGAAGAAATGATGGCCCAGATGGGCCTGAAGTCCTGACCGAGGGGGACTGGGAAAAGATGGGCTCCATTGCCCTGTTGACCTCCCTGGCTCTTGCCAAGGGCTGCTTTGTCTCACTGTCCTGGAGTTAAGATGAAAGCCAGGCAGATGTGTCCCCTTCCATTACCCAGTTGGAACAGAGAATAGATGGGCCTGACTCAAGCCTTCAGAATCTCCCCAAAGAGGAGTTACTGATGCCTACGGCACACAGGGAGTTAGAAGAAGGGCTTGCACATCCTGCCAGACTACTTGAAAAGGCATTTCTGGAAAGAGCTCTGTCAGGTGCCTCCGCCACCCACCGACGTTAGGCTGCCTGTTTGGATCTGTTCTTGGGCAAGGCATCGCACAGCCAGAGTTGCTGTGGCTGAAGAGCTCCATCGGGGGAAGCCGGGTCCACGGAGAGAGGGGTTCTTGTCACCAGGCTGTAGTCTGTGTCTGGGATGCTGGTAGGATGAGGAAGAAAAGATGTCATTACTTAATTGGCTACTAATCCCCTTCTCAGAGGCCCTGAAGAAGTGGGGAGAGTGGCTTCTTAGCCTGTAAGTGTCCAGATAACTAATTTTGGTTTTGGCCTCTGCACTGTTTCAATTCCAAATTGTTCTGGCATTTTCCTGTAGCTAAAGTTCGCATAAATAAAAGTGAAGCACTTTATCATTGAAAACTGGAAAACCTAAATAGTGTCCTTCCTGTGTTCTAAAATAACCCAGTCGTCTAAGGTGGCTGGTTCTTGACCCATATAGGTCCTAAAATCTAAACGTTTTTTAAAACAGCTTTATTTTACACATTGTATAATTCACACATTTCAAATAAGCCATTTAATGATTTTTAGTAACTTTACTGAGTGGTGCAACCATCACTATGAATCCGTTTTAGAACACATTCATCCCCCAAGAAGAGCTTGGATTTACAATTAATCCTCATTCTGAGCCCCTGCCCTCGGCCACGGCCACCATTGATCTGCTTTCTGTCTATAATTTGCCTTTACTGTACACTTCATAAAAATAAGTCATAGAGTTTATAGCCTCTTGCATCTGGCTTCTTTCACTTAACATAATGTTTTTGAGGTTTCTCCACGTGGCATGTTCAACACTGTCCTTTTTTTGTTTGTTTATGGCCAAATAATACTGTATGCCCATATAAGATTTTATTTATCCATTCATCAGTTGATGATTATATTATTTGAATGGTTTCCACTCTGGGGCTCTTAGAATAATGCCACTATGAACATTCATGTACAGGTGTTTGTGTGGACCTATGTTTTCATTTCTCTTGCGTAAATAGATGCCCAGGAGTGGAACTGCTGGATCATGTGATAACTGTTGAACCATTTGAGAAACTACCAGACTGTGTACCATTGTACATTCCCACCACAGTGCAGAAAGGTTTGGGTTTCCCCACATCCTCCTCAACCCTTGTTATTGTTTTGTTTATTATAGCCACACTCGGGGGTTCCCAGGTGTTTCTATCAACTTTCAAACTTAGGAAAGAGCCATTATATTATCCAAACTGCAGGAAGGGGAATTTTGATCTCCTGGTTAAGAATATGGGCTGTGATCTAGGTGATTCTAGATGGAAAGCCTGGTTCTCTACTTTTTTTAGACACACTTGCAATTGTTCCTGGAAAGTGGGGATAGTAATGGTGAGGGTGAAAGGAGCAGATGTTTCTGGCACCCTAGGTTAGTCTAGTGCTGCCACAACAAATTACCACAAATTGGGTAGCTTCTAGCAGAAATGTATTCTCAGTTCTGGAGCCTATGAGTCTGAAATCAGTGTCAGCAGGGATGTATGTTCTCTGAAGGCTCTAGGGGAGGATAGCTCTGGTCTCTCCAGGCTTCTGGTGGTTGCTGGCAATTCTTGGCATTCATCACTCCAGTCTGCCTCAGCCTCCACAAAGCCTCCTGTGCATCTGTCTCTGTGTCCCAATTTCAAGGACACCGGTAGTTGGATTAGGGCCCACCCTCCTCTAGAATGACCTCAATCTAATTACATCTGCAGAGACCCTATTTCCAAATAAGGTTACGTTCTTAGGAACTAGGGTGGGGGTTATTAGGAACTAGGATGGGGGTTAGGACTCCCAGCATATTCTTTGGAAGGCTGGTCACCATGGATGTAGTGGCTGCCTCCCAAGAACTTTCCTCTTAGGCCAGGAGAGCCTAATGCCAGTGGGGGCCCTCCCAGGGGCCCTTGGCAGGGGAGGGGCAGAGATGAGGCCCAGAGGTCTAGGCTTCAATTTGCTCACCTTATACTTGGCTGGTGAATTTCAGTCACAAGAGTCACCTTCTAAGCTCATTATGATGTGGTTTTGGAATACAGGTGAGGTTCAGTGGGGTGGGGTCGGGAGCTGACGACCAAGAGAGACATCTTTGGTGGTTTATTAAAGCACAGGGATAGAACCTGTGGGCAGAAAGAGCTGCTGCACTGGAATATGAGGGGTGGCTGATTATATACTTTGGGTTTGGGGGAGGTAAGGAAAAAGGTTTTCAAAAGGATTTTTATATGTTAAAGTAGACTCGGAGGCCTTGCCATTGTCAAGTTAAGGTTGTTTTTCCTTCTAGCCTGGCATTAACATTAAGATAGTTGGGAACTCCCTGGAGGAACTTTATACTCTGCCCACTTCAAGTATCTGTCAATGGACTGCAGGTTATAAGGACATTTAATTGTACTTACATTTCCTACTGGAAGATAGGTTATTGATAGAAATGCTTTGTTCTTATAAAATGCTAAGACATTTGTAAACTCAGGGACACTCATGTCTTGCAGGATTGTGATCTTTATAAATTGTTTTTCCTTTCCTTAGTTTTAGGGCAGCCAGGAGTGCCTGAGGAATGTCACGTAAATCCCATCTGGGGGGGGTTGTGGGGTGTCAGCTTCTGCTTTGTCCTCAGCTTGCGTTCTGTTCCATCAATTAGAATGTTCTTTTGGGGCAAAAAAAAAAAAATCGTAAGATTTGGAGAAACAGTCTAATTTCCTCTACACACGGAGTAAAACTGGAGTTTGCCCTTTTTAACCCGGATTCCAAAGCCAAGTGGCCCTGGGTATCTCCATATCCCAGGCCCCAAGAATTTTTTTTCCTCTTTTGCAGTCTGTCACAGCTATTAAAGTTTGTGAGTTTCAGCTGGCTGGAAACAGTGCCCAGTGTTTTTTTTTTTTAAAGATTTTATTTATTTATTTGATAGAGTGAGAGAGCACAAGCAGGGGGAAGAGTAGAGGGAGAGGGAGAAGCAGGTTCCCCGCCAAGCAGGGAGCCCGATGCGGGGCTAGATCCCAGGACCCTGGGATCATGACCTGAGCCGAAGGCAGACGCTTAACCATCTGAGCCACCCAGGTGCCTGCCCAGTGCCTTTTAAAATTGATTTGTTCTTGGCTGCCTCAGACTTAAAGCAAATTATTTAGAGGCAGAGCTTTGTGGAAGGAAACAATCATCTGGCCACTACAGATAAGGCCTGGTAAGGCATTCGCTAAAAAAGTACAGAAGCAAAGCTTTCAAGCTGTTGTTATATTCAGTTTCCAAAAATATATTACAAAATATTTCAGTCACAAAGAGTAGAGCAAATGGTACATTGGCCCTTCATTCCCATTACTGAGATGAAATGATTATCAGAATTTTGCTACCCTCGTCTCTACTCTCCCCTTTATGAAGTCTTTAAAAAAATCAGATTCCAGACATCACACCATTTCACCCTTCCATAGTTCACCTCTAAAAATTTGCATCTCTAAAAATAACATTTCTTACATAACTACAATGTTATTATCCCACCTGGAAAACGTTAACAAATTTGTTGCATATAATCCAATACCCAGCCCGTATTCACATTTCCAATTGTCTCAAAATGGATTTTTTAAGGGTGCCTGGCTGGCTCAGTCCGTCAAGCAAACCCCCTAGATCTCAGGGTTGGAGCCCCACGTTCAGTGGAGATGATGTGGGATACAAAGGCAGAAGGAACTGTAGATAAGATTAAGTGTCCTTATAACCTGCAGCCCATTGACAAATACTTGAGGCAGGCAGAGTATAAAGTTCCTCCAGGAAGTTCCCACCTCTTAATGTTAATGCCTTGCTAGAGGGAAAAACAACCTTAGTTTGACAATAGCAATGCCTCAGGTTTCCAGCGATTCTTCTTTAGCATATGAAAATCCTTTTGGAACTTCCTTTCCCTTTATTCCCCCCAAGCGCAAAGTATGTAATCCGTTGCTCCTCACAATCCTGGGGCAGCAGCGGCAGTGGTATTTTGTGCCCGTGAGTCCATCCTCATGCTTTAATAAAACCACCTTTTTGCACCAAAGACGTCTCAAAAATTCTTTCTTGGCCCTTGACTCCGGACCTCACCAACATTGCGAAACTACATTATAGAGATTACTTAAAAATAAAATCTTAGGGGTGGCTCAGTTGGTTAAGCCTCTGACTCTTGGTTTGGGGTCAGGTCCTGATCTTGGGGCTCTCAGGTGGAGCCACCCTAGGCTCCTGCTCAGCGGGGAGTCTGCTTGACAATTCTCTCCCTCTGCCCCAACCCCCACATGTGTGCGCGGGCTCTCTCTCTCTCAAATAAATATTTTTTAAAAATGAAATCTTAAAAAGAAAGGAAGTGTTTTTTACAGTTGGCTTATTAGAATCAAGATGCAAACAAGGTCCTGAGTTTCCTTCACCAGATCTCCCACAGGGTAAGTAATTTTGAGGTGAACCACAATTAGAGGGAGTTCCTGAGGGCCTCACCAAATCAGAGAACCTAACAGCAGTGACAGTAATGGGCAGTTGCCAAGCTGAGGTCTGCTCCCCAAAGCAATGTCCCTTCCATGCCCCACAGGCTGAACAGTAGGCATTTCCAACTTCTTGCTGACTTCAAATTCTCAACTTTTTCACCACTCCGTCTCCAAAAAAAGCTGGCTGAATGCAATAGTCTCTAGGTGTTATTTCAGCGTCCAAGGTCTTCCCAGTGGTTCTTCCAAGTGGGATCCAGTGGGTTAGGTAGCTAATAAACACTCTGAATCTAAGATCAGTAGTTCTTAAAGCAGGCTACACATTGGAATCACCTGAAGAGCTTTAAAAACTGATGTCTGGGTCTGCCACCCAGAAATTCGATTGTAATCAAGCTAGGTTGTGGCCTGGGCACGAGGGGTTTTAAAAGTTACCCAGGTGACCCTAACGCGCAGCCGTGGCAGACAACCACCGAGGAGCCCTGCAGGGCAGGGTTCCCACTTGGCTCTCCTTAACCTGCTCCAAGGGTTAAGCCGGAGCTGGCGGGGCGGGGCCGGGGGCGGGGCCGAAGAGGAAACAGGGCGGGAGAGTCCCGGTCTCTGCGGCCAGCACGCTCGGCTGTTGCAGAAACGAGCGGAAACGCCTCCGTTTTACAAAACAAAGCGGAGAAGCGGGAGGCGTGCGCGGTCCGCGGGGCACGGGCCTCGGCGGTGGGTCCCTCCAGTCCGGGCGCCTCGGCATCTTTGGGTGGAGATGGAGAGAGGCCTTGAGAGCTGCCGGCGCTCGGAGTCCAACGGCCTCTGGGCACCTCGGATCACGGCGGTGGAGGAGCTGCAGAGCCGCGTGCAGGAGACCCTGGACCTGCTGTCCCCGCAGGAACTGAGCAACTTCCGCATCTTCCTCAAGTCGGTGGACGAGGAGCCGCGCGTGACCCCCTTGCGACTGGAGCTGGAGGGCAAGAGCACGAAAGGGCTGGCCCGTCTCCTGGTCCAGCACTACTGCGAGCCCGCCGCTGCGTCGCGCGTCCTCACCAAGGTGCTGCAGCAGCTACGCCGCGTCGACCTGCTCCAGCGCTGGCGGGACGCCGCCGCCGCCGAGGGCCGGGGTGAGCTGGGGGCTGCCAGCTCCCGGGGCTGGGGGCGGGGCCTGGTGAGCGGGGAGCCGCGGGGTCTGGGGCTGGGCGGGTGCGCCGGGCCCGTGTAAGCGCGGGGTTTGGCCGCGGCGCCCGAGGGTTCCGGGCTCGGCTTGGGGGCGGGGCACCCGGTTTGACTGGGGGTGCGGAGGCTAGCGGAGCGAGGAGGGGGCGGGCTTCCTGGGACCCAGTGACGCGCGGCGGGAAGTGGGAGCCTGGGGGGAGGTGGTCCCGAGAGTCGCTGTTTCCGAGCGCGGAATCCGAATGAGCCGTCGAAGAGCAGCGATCAGGATCTAACCAGCACATTTTGGGATCAGATCGACTCAGCAGGCCTGAGATGCTTTGTCAACATGTACCTTCAAGGGATGATGATGTGGGAGGTTTCTAAATGGTGCAGTGAAAAGCACGGTATTGGAATTCCCGCTGTCGCATCTCCAGGGAATGTATTTACGGGGGCGGAGGGGGGAGGGCCCCTCTTCTTGCACACCCTGAGACTATTTGCCATTAATCTATGATCAAGAAATGCAGTATGTAACAGGTTAAGGGAGGTTGGGGCTCCCCCCTCCAGATTTAAGAAACGTATGTGCACCATGATATGTGTGTGAGAGAGAGAAAGCAGCACTTAAATGAGAACCATCGAAGTAGACACTAAAATATACCATCCGTGACCTCTGCCATTAGTATGCTTACGATCTGATCTGATTGAGCTTTGAGGTGGGTTGCTGATGTTGTTTGGATTTGTAATGAATGGATCACAACGGTAATGGCCCAACGAACATGCCGTGTAGGCAGAATACCCGCTCAGTGGAAACGACTCTCCCTGCTTTACGTCGCCTGTACAGCATTTGTGTTGTCCCTCCCAGCTTCGTTGTTCAGGTATCACATGAACACCTCTTTAGGTGTTCTCACCTCTTGAGACTTTGAGTCTCTTACTGTTGGTAAAGTGGTTTTTTTTTCCAGAATCATCCAAACTACACAATATTATGGCTGTACCCTGTCGGCACCCGGTAAATATTTGAATTAAATGCTAAGAGATTATGTTAAATTAAAAAAAATACCCAATTCCTTTACTTTATCTGTCCCTTTATTGATGTCTTGATCGCCTCTCCAGGAAGTACATGTAAAGTAATGTCAGTCAATTACACCTTGTCCTTTTTATCCCCCGCCAGGCTCTTTCTGCCCTTGTACCTAACTGCGGTCTAAGGGAGGTCTGTTTTAAGTTTCTAGCCTTGTAGGAGTTTGAAAGAGGGTGTGTTCATAATCCAGGGAACCTGTTCTAAAATGAGGTTGAAGCCTACAGGACCTGAAAACATAAGGCAACAGAATTCTCTGGGAGGAGCTTCCTGTTAACAGTAATGACAGTGGATTGATTGAAAAGAAAAAAATGGGGAAAAAATAATGCAATAATGCTCTTTTTTTGTTTTATTCTCTTTCATGAAAATTCATTCAGGGATTCCAAGAAAGATTCTAAAAAGAAGCTATGATTGTGTGGATGGCGAACTGGTAAATATTTTTGCTCTTACTCCAGCACTACACACTGGTGAGGAACAATGGTATTTAGCCACTTTAGCTGACATTGGAACATTTTTTGTGCTGCTGTCTTGTTAGTTAAAGGAAACTGTCTGGTTGTCTCAAGTGGTCAGATCTCACTGCTTTCTGTTATGATTGTGAAAGATAAACATGAGCCATTTAAAACCGCTGTGCCTGCATTAACCAAATAGGTAGGCACTGCTGTTATTTCTATTTTATAAATCAAGAAAAATGAGGCACTGGAGGTTCAAGGATGACAGGCTGTGTGGCCTTGGACGGCTATATAAATTGCTGGTTGTAGGGCTTTTTTTTTTTTTTTAAGTTTTATGATGGAAATTTTCAATAAATACTAAAATAGAATAGAAAAACAAATCTCTCAAACTCCAGTCCAATGTACTTATGACCCTGCTTCAGCAAATTAGTAACATAGGGCCAATCTTGTTTTGTCTGCTTCCCGGCCCAATTATTTTAAAGCAAATCCAGATAACCTATCATGTTCATCTACAGATACGTTAGTATGAATCTCTAAATCTTTAGTATGAGAAAGAGGTTGTTCAAAACATAACCACAATGCCATTATTCTGCCTAAAAACAACTTCCTTAGTGTGTGCAAAGATGTGGTTGGGATTCAGATTTCATTGACTGGGTCCTATGTCTTTTGCAGGTGGTTTGTTTGAATCAGGATGCTGACTCATACAAGGTCAACACAGTTACAGTCGATTTCTTTGTGTCCTAAAGCTCTTAACTTAGGATACTTCTCCCTTCTTTAACCTTTTTTCTTATTGTTTACTTATTGAAGAAACCAGGTTATCTGTAGCATGTCCCATATTCTGGATTTTGATGACTGCAGCCCTGTGTGGTCATTTAACTCTGTTCCTCCGTCTGCCATGCTTCCTTAAACTAATAGTGATAGCTATACATGGGAATTTAAAACTGAGATTGGCCTATTAGTCCTGGTGTAAGGAAGATATTTGAAAGAAGTATAAATCCAGTCGTGCCCCACCCCCTTCCATAACTAATAAGAGAGACAATCACTGTTGCAGCCCTGATCCAAACTGGGAAACCTCACCATTGATCCCAGAAGAAACTCTTTATTTCAGATCGATGACATATTTGGATTTCTGAGTTTGGTTTGGTTTGCTTTAAATATTACTGGCTTTCCTGGAAAATAGGACTGTTACGACCTGAGGGGCAAGCGGAAGGCTTTTATCATGTGCGTGGAGAAGAACAGACCAGGGGCTCAGCGGGACATCCATCTAATGGAGGAGTGGCTTGGCCAGTGCCAGTTTGAGCATACACAATGCATCGATCCTAACAAAATGGTATAATTTTCTTTTTTTTTAAATTGGGTTTTGGAAGGGCACCTGGGTGGCTTAGTCGGTTAAGCGTCTGACTCTTGGTTTTGGCTCAGGGTCCTGGGATCCAGCCCTGTGTCCGACTCCATGCTCATTGGGGAGTCTGCTTTAGGATTTCTCCCTCTCTCTCTGCTCCTTCCCCTGCTTGTGCTCCCTCTCTCTCAAATAAATAAATAAATCTTAAAAAAAAATAAAAATAAAAATTGGGTTTTAGTACCTGGCAAGAACCAGGACCTGCTGAACAATCCCATGCATGTCCTGATAAAATTCTTGATGCTTTTGTAATCTTAAGTGTGTGATATCCTACCTCCCCTTCCAGTCAAGCAGGGACCTCTTGGGCTCCAGTCTTGGCTAGGGCTATGCAGTTGAAGAGGGAAGGGGACCCAAGAAGATGTTCTAAGCAAGATGGGCAAGGAGGCCCAAGGACAAGGCGTGAGTCTGGAGTAGGCAAGTTCCAGAGACTTTGGGAGCAGGAAAGACCAAGGAAACCCCTTTGAGAGGTCAGCAGGAGGGAGGCCAGAGGCATTGCAGCACTGTGAGTCCTTGTGGGATTCACTTGGAACCTGGAAGAGGTGTAGAGAGGGAGCTGATAGCCCTGGGCAGACCTGCATTGTGACCTAACTAGTTGATACTGAAAAAATAAGGTGGAAGAACAGTGGTGGGAACTCAGTTTGACCTCTCTGACTCTACCTGAGTCATGACCTAGACCTACCCTTTTTTAGGGATAGTAACATGGGAAAGCCCTTCCTAGATCCCAGAAGTCCTTGCTAATGTCCAGGAACAGCGCAGCATGGGGCTGTGGATGCCACATAGACTGCCTGGGCTGGAATCCTGTCTCTTCCTAGTTGTTACCTTAAATCTGGTTCTCACCCGAGGGTGATTTGTCCCCCTCATTTGGCCATGTGTGGAGACATTTCTGGTTGTCACACCTGGAGGGTACTACTGGCCTCTGGTGGGTGCTATCATGCCCAGAAGAGCCCCCACAGCCAAGGGTTTTCTGGCCCCAAATGTCCATAGTGCCATAATTTCAGCAGCCCTGCCTGAAATTGACTACTTTCCTCTCCTGGAAATGGGGTTGATGAGAGTGGCTTATTTTGGAGGGCTGTGGTGATAATGAGCTGCTGTGTCAGAATGCCCAGAATAGTAGCGGGCTTATAGCAAGTGCCCAGTAAGCTTTGATTTTATTATTATTTCAAAGGTAAAAATAGACTCTTTCACTTTCCCCAAGGATTGTACCAGAATCTCTTACCTATTGCATGGTTTTGAATCAGATGGCAGATACTCTGCCGGTGTTCCTTTCGTTTATTCTCTTAGGGGTCTCCAGTGGCCGCTTTGCCTGCATCCTGGCACGTTTAGTTTATTTGTAAATATTTAGCAGTGTTACTGCAAAAGTATTTCATCGTTCTTAGTTTCATTTTCCAAATTATTAGTTTGGTTAAACATCTTTTGGCCATTGTTTTCCTTCTGTAAATTATCTGTTCTGTTTCCTTTGCCCTTTTTCCTACTGGGTCGTCTTTTTCCTGCTCTTACAGTTATTTTCCTGGACTGTATTCATTTACAAAACGTAGTGCAAATACTTCTCTCTTGTGTCTGTTACTTTTTTGATTTTTTGTTGTTGTTGTCTTCAGTTGTATAGAAGTCTTTTTTAAATTTTTTGTGAGTAAACCTGTCAATCTTTTTTGGTGGCTTCTTGATTTTTGTGTCTTGATTAAATTCCATGCCTTACCAACTTAAAAAATGTTTAAATTATTTTTCTGTACTATTTGTGTAGTTTAAGGTTTCCTTTCTAACTCTCTGGAATCTTACTTTTGACGTGTGAGGTAAGAGGTCTTACCTTATGTCCAGATGGATAGTCAGTTGTCTCAACATTTATTGAATGATGTGTCCTTCCCCCACATATTTGAAACTCTACCTTTATCATGAAATAAAGTCCTATAGATAATTTGATTGGTTTCTGGAATCTAAAATATCCCATTCATATGTTTGTTTATACTTCTCCCAGTACATCACTGTTTCATTCACCGTGATTTTTTTCAGGACATTTTGATGTCTGACAGGACCTGTCCCTCCTTTTTTTTTTTCCTTTTTGACTTCTGAATATTCTTGGCACTTCTTGGACATCATCTGTTCTCTGTGAGCTTGAGAATAATCTGGTTAATAAGTTCCACCGAAATCCTTTGGGAGTTTGATTGCCATGACACTGAATTGAGATTCATTTGGAGTGAATTGACAAATTAATAGTGTTAACAGAGCATGGGCATGTCATGTGTATGTTTCCTCTTTCCTGAAGCTTTTTTTATCCTTTTCTTCATTTAGGTGATGTGTGTTTCTTAGGTTTATTCCTAGGTATTGTCCTTGTTTGGGTGTGACCATGAACGGGACCCCCTTTTCATTATGTGGTTTAAATGATTGTTGCCAGGGTGCCTGGGTGGCTCAGTCGGTTAAGCGTCTGCCTTCGGCTCAGGTCATGAGCTCAGGGTCCTGGGATCGAATTCTGCATCAGGCTCCCTGTTCAGTGAGGAGCCTGCTTTTCCCTCTGCCCCTCCTGCTGCTCATGCTCTCTTTCTCTCTCTCTCAAATAAATAAATAAATAAAACCTTTAAAAAATTTTTTAAAAAAATAAATGATTGTTGCCAGGTAACTGGGGCGGGTGGTGGGCGGTGGGCATTAGATCTTTGTGAGTTAATCTTGTGTCCGGTCAGCTCTCCAGTTGCTAGTTCCAGTAGTTACTTGGTTGATTATTTTCTATTTCTAGATAGTCATGGTATCTGTAAGTAATGAATTTTAGCTCTTTGTTTCTCGTATTTAGACTTCATTTAAAAAAAATTTTGTATTTAAATTCAATTTAATTAACATATAGTGTATTACTAGTTTTAGAGATAGAGTTCAGTGATTCTTCAGTTGCATATAACACCCAGTGCTCATTACGTCAGATGCCCTCCTTAATGTCCATCACCCGGCTATTGCATCCTCCCACCTCCTCTCCAGCAACCCTCAGTTTGTTTCCTAGAGTTAAGAGTCTCTTATGGTTTGCCTCCCTCTCTGTTTTCATTTTATTTTATTTTTCCTTCCCTTCCCCTATGTTCATCTGTTTTGTTTCTTAAATTCCACATATGAGTGAAACCATATGGTATTTGTCTTTCTCTGACTGACTTATTTCGCTTAGCATAATACCCTCTAGTTCCATCCACGTCGTTGCAAATGGCAAGATTTCATTCTTTTTGATGGCTGAGTAATATTCCATTGTATGTATATACCACCAGGGTAGCTCTATTTCTAATTTTTATTTATTTTTTATTTTATTTTAATTTTTTTTTAAAGATTGTATTTATTTATTTGACAGAGAGAACGAGAGAGCATAAGCACAGGACAGTAGAGGGAGAGGGAGAAGCAGGCGCCCCACCAAGCAGGAAACCCGATGCGGGGCCCAATCCCAGGACCCTGGGATCATGACCTGAGCTGAAGGCAGACGCTGAACCATCTGAGCCACCCAGGCGCCCCTCTATTTTTAATTTTTAGAGGAACCTCCATACTGTTCTCGAGAGTGGCTGCCCTGTTTGCATTCCCACCAACAGTGTAGAAGCGTTCCCCTTTCTCTGCATCCTCGCCAACTGTCGTTTCCTGAATGGTTAATTTTAGCCATTCTGACAGGTGTGAGGTGGACTTCATTTAACTTTTACTCACTTTATTGAAGTGAGGAGCTAGGATCTTGGCTACGAGGGGCATGGGAGCTGTGATAGTGGCCATTCCTGCCTTGCTTCTCTCTCTGGGGGGCTTGATTCTGATGACGTCTCCCCATAGGTTCTGGCAGACCTGTATTATTGGTAGACACTTCCATTCCCTTCCATTTCTAGCTTTTTGAGGGCATTAGTTTTCGAGAATAACAATTGTTTTTGTTAAAATAAGTTAATAATATAAAATTTACATATACTAGACCCTTGGGGAGCTATAATTCTGTTGTATTTTGTGGTAGAGAATTGGAAATGCCCTAATTCTGTCCAAGAAGAACCAGTGGCACAAGAAGAAATCGTGTGAATTCTGAAAGCAACCAAAAGGGAAGTGACCAGTTAAGGAACTGATATTTATCTCCTAAGCCTGTTTGAGATGTGATTATTGTTGTATTTGTCATGTCCTCCGATTGCGAGGGAAAGGGGCCATCTCTAGCATTTCTGGTTTTCCTTACCTCCAGTTCTTTTGAATACGTTATCCTATTTTACAGGTGTTAATTGAGAAAATAAGATCATTCCGTGATGGACTCAATGAAAGTAAAGATGATGTTGGCTGTTGTCTTGTTACCCTTATGTCCCATGGAGAGAAAGGGTTTATTAGAATGGAAGATGGTGAAAAAGTCAGCCTGGAGGACATTTTTGAAATGTTTAATAATAAAAATTGTCCAGCACTTCAGGAGAAACCAAAGATCTTTATCATCCAGGCCTGCAGAGGAGGTAAGTGAAGACTTCTTTGTAACAGTCATGCTTCTAGGAAATTCTCCTATGGATGAGTGAGGAAAGAAAAAGAAGTTAAAAATATTTGTTTCTTTAAAATCAGAGGCCCCTCCGCTGATGTGACTTTAGTTGTGTAGTGTACTAGAGACTTTGGGCTGGGAGGAAGGGATAGAAGGAGAACTTAGGCTGAGGAAGGGTCCAAGTCTCTCACGTCATGAGGTGGGCCAGGGAGATGTGTGCAGTTTCCAAGGGCTGTCCCACTGTCCATGGGATGCCAGGCGGCCTGCGGGGCCGACATCCAACTTCTGTAGCTTCTGCAGATATTTCTGTCTCTTGTGGAGATACCAGCTTGTTGGGACTTTGACTGGGGGCTCCTGGTGTCTGTGGTGTATTACTATAGTTTGTATTTTTGTTCTTCAACAAACAGAGAGAAGAGACACCGGTGTTGAGACAGACGATGAACCCATGGAGTCTGATGACATATCCGAGAGGAGGAGGCTGCCCACCTTCAGTGATTATTTCATCATCTATCCCACCCAGGCAGGTGAGACATGAGGGTAGATGACAGTGCACACACTTTCTTCCAGAAGGTTTGGGTTATTTGTACCTTTTTTTTTTTTTTAATTTTTTAATTATCGGTGCTTTACAAATTGACATGTATAAGGAGATTTTTCATTAACCCATCCATCTCTCTTTACAAATGTTTCCACTTTTAGAGATGGCAGGTTGGCATCTTACTGTTCATTTCTTCCGGGAAGGCACGAACCTCTGAGCAAAGTATCACATGGTAAATAAGATCACTGGCTCTCCTATGAAAAAGATGTTGGCCCAAAACCTAGTTCCTCCACTTGCTATATTGGAGAATTTCAATATTTTTTAATCTCTAGATATATCAGTTTCTTCATGTAAAACGGGAATGATGGAATTTACTTATGTCATTGAGATGTTACATAAATTGAATAATATAACCACAGATGTGCTTATCATAATAACTGGCATAATCCAAAAAAAGAAATTAGCTACTATTATTACTAATACATTATGTTAATAATATTATCATCATTACTTCATTACTAATACAGTTATTAATTTATAAGGTAAGGTCCAAAAGAATCTTGTGTGTGAAGAGCCACCCCTTCATTTGATTCACTTGTAGGAGAGATAGAATTAAGAGGTCAAGGACATTTCTTTAGCTGGGCTGTTTTTTTGTGTTTTTTTTGTGTGTTTTTTGTTTTTTTTAAAGTCATGTCTACACCCAACATGGGACTTGAACTCACAACCCGGAGATCAGGAGTCACATGCTCCACCAACTAAGCCAGCCAGGTGCCCCCCTTTAAATGTTTTTATCTTAACTTCTTTCAAAGAGGATTAAGGCAGTTTACAAAAATGTATATGGAATTCAACATAAATTTTATTTTATTTTTTTTTTAGAGATTTTATTTATTTATTTGACAGAGAGAGAGATCAGACAGGCAGGCAGAGGGAGAGGGAGAAGCAAGCCCCCCGCTGAGCGGGGAGCCCGATGTGGGGCTCAATCCCAGGATGCTGGGATCATGACCTGAGCCGAAGGCAGACGCTTAACGACTGAGCCACCCAGGCGCCCCCAAGATAAATTTTAATAAAGAAATGTAAGCAAAGGAACATAGGGCAACAACTTAAAATGAAACACACTCAGTGGTAAGATGTGAAAAACACCCCCATTAAAGTGAGATGTCAGATTTCACTCCTTGGTTATTTACCCAAGAGAGATGAAAGCATGTGGCCTCCCAGAGTGGCATAGCAGCTTTATTTGAAGTAGTCAAAGACTAGAAACAACCCAAATGACCATCAACAGGTGAATGAATAAACAAATCGTGGTATGCCATATATGGAATACAGCTCAGCAATAAAAAGAAATGAGCTGCTGATATAAACTAACCACAGAATTATTATGGAGCGGTTAAGGGTGAAGGTGAGGAACTTCATGTTCCAGTTTTATTGAATGAATGAATTTTATGACTGTGTGCTGGGCTATACAAATTTAAGGGCTAGAGATTCAGTATTGGACAGAAGAACTAAAAATCTCTGCCTCCACAGAACTTATGTGCTAGTTGGAGACAGACAGTAAACACATAGAGAAACTATATATTGTGCTGTTTTATGATCCCATTTGTATAAAGTTCAAAAACAGGCAAAACTGATCTGTGGTGTTAGAAGTCAGGATAGTGCTCGCCCTCCGGCATGCGGTGTTTGGGGTGGTAAGGACCAGAGGGGGCAAGAAGGGGACTTCTGGAGTGCTGGCACTATCTTGTTTCTTGATGAGGGCACTAGTTACAGGGTGTGTTCATTCTATGAAAATGTATTGAGCTGTTTTATACCCCTAAGCTTTGCACTCTCTGTGCGATGGGTACCTTTCAGTGAAATGTTTACCAAAAATAAAGTATGTTACATGGTTACCATTGCTATGGAGAAAAATAATGCAGGGACAAGGGATATAGGGAGTGTCCAGGGGCAGGAGTGGAGGTTGCAGTTTTAAAAAAGAGACGTATAGAGATGTCCCCACTGAGAAGCTGATTGTTGTGTAGACACTTGGGGGACACGGGAGAGGGTGAGCTATGCAGATATTTGAGAGAATTTGTGTTTTACAACACAATAAGAATACTTCATATATAACAGTATCAAAAACTCTGTATAGTGTGTCCCCACTGGGATAGAAGAGAGAACCTAGAGGCAGAACCAAATACGCAGGGAAACAAGACATGTGACAAGCCATTGCTGATCAGCGTGGAACGAATGGGCCGTTCAGTATAGTGCTGGGAAAACCGGCTTCCCCGTGGGAGAAAAGTAAAAATTTATTTTCAGATTTCTTGGCCCAGGGTTCAGTGCCTCTAATCATGTGAAATGTCCAATATATAGTAATGCTTCTTTTATCTCTGATATTTGTGGCTTTCTTCTTTTACTCTTTATCAGCCTTACCAGTGGTGTATTTACTTAAGAACCTATTTTTAGTTTTGTTAATCCCCTCTAGTATCTGTTTTTGATTTCATTAATTTTGACTCTTGTTTCCATTTTTCTTCATTTGGGGGGTGTTTATGCTACTCGTCTTTCCCTGGCTCTTTCAGTTAGGTATTTGACTCATTATTTTCTATCTTTTTAAGCATATAAGCATGTTTAAAGCTTTAATTCCTTCTTAAGGACTGCTTTCACTCTGTCCTTCACATTTTAACATGGACCAGTTTTGTCCTTCAGTTCTAAAAGTTCTTAAATTTCCATTGTTCTTTTACATGTTAGAATTATCTCTAAATTTCTGTGTTGGGATTTTAAAATTTGTCCTTTTGTTACTGATGTCTGGTTTATTTGTGTGAGGAACTGAGAAAGAATATGGACGACAGTACTGATCTGAAATATGTTGAGACTTGGGTTATGCTTTGGTCTTTAGTAAACTTATTTTAAAGATTTATTTATTTTTTAGAGAGAGAGAGAGAGCATGTGAGCCCCGGATGGGGGTGGGGGGATGGAGGAGGAGGAGAGGAAGAGAATCTTCACATAGACTCCATGCTGAGTGGGGAGCCCAACCCAGGATTCAATCTCAAGACCCTGAGATCATGACCTGAGCCGTTTGAAACCAAGAGTCGGACACTTAACTGACTGAGCCACCCAGGTGCCCCTCTAGTAAACTTTTTAATGGCATTTGGACTCTCCTAGATATTCTGTGTGTGTTTAAGAATATGTGTTGTGTTCCGCACTTGTTGAATGCAGGGTTCTAAATATTTCTATCAATTAAACATAATTGTGTTCAGTTGTTTTATGTCTCTACTAAATTTGTCTGCTTGACCTGCCAATATCTGAGATAAGTGTGTCCATAGGTCATGTTATTGTGGTAGGCATGTCTGTTTCTTCTGTAGTCCCAGTGTTTTTGTTTTCTTTATTTTGACACAACTTGAGTAGAGGCATACAATTTTAGAATTGTGGTGAAATATATAGAAGAAATAAGATAAAATGTTCTAAGCACTCTTTAGTGAACCTACTGTCCCAAGTAGTGCTTTTTTTGTGTGAGTTCATTTTGTCTGGAATTTATATAGGTACTTGAATATTCTTTTGCTCCATATTGGCCTGGTATACCTCCTTCAGACTGTTTTCTGTGAACCTTTCTGGGCCTTTATGTCTTAAGTGGGTCTCTTTTAGATAGGATATAGCTGGGTTTGTTTTTTTGTTTTTTTTTTTTTAAGATTTTATTTATTTATTTGAGACAGAGAGAATGAGAGAGAGAGAGCACATGAGAGGGGGGAGGGTCAGAGGCAGAGATGCGGGACTCGATCCAGGGACTCCAGGATCATGACCTGAGCCGAAAGCAGTCGCTTAACCAACTGAGCCACCCAGGCGCCCTTTTTTTTTTTTTTTAATTCATTGTGACATTACCAATCTTTTTATTGGTAAATTAGGGCAATTTGTCTTTATTGTGACTATTGATATATTTGCCCTTTTGCCATTTTATTTTGTGCTATTTATTTTTCTTTGCTTTATTTCCTTCCTTTATGGCTCTTGTGTTTGCTTGATTAATAGTTTAGTATGTTATTCTAACATTTTTTGACCCCCTGCTGACCTAGAAGGTAGACATCCCATAATTCTTTTTCTCATGGTTACCCGTGAAATTTTATACATGCGCAGTTAGCCTAAAGTTAATTTAAAAAAAGCTTATTTTTACTCCCTGATGATTCAAGGAACCTTGGAACACTAATTCCCATTACCTTCTCCCACACCTCCGTGCTATTTTTAACATTTATTTCTTTTCTTTTTGTATCTTGCTTAACATTGTTTATATAAAAATATTTATGTGTTCTTAAATTGCCTTAAATTATCCTTCCACTGCCCCCTGGTTTTCTTCTGAATTAAGATATCAATTTAAAACACTTTCATCAAATGTGTTGGCACACACTAGGGTGGCAAGCACTATTCTAGGTAATACCTAGTCCTTTTTTTAAAACCCCACAAATTAGAACACTATTTTTTTTTTTTTTTTTTTGACGGAGAGACAGCGAGAGAGGGAACACAAGCAGGGGGAGTGGGAGAGGGAGAAGCAGGCTTCCCGCTGAGCAGGGAGCCCGATGAGGGGCTCCATCTCAGGACCCTGGGATCATGACCTGAGTCGAAGGCAGACGCCCAACCGACTGAGCCACCCAGGCGACTCTGGAAGGAGGTGGAACCTGAATGATTATCTGAAAGGCACTTTGAAACTGCAGCCATTTAGTAGGTTGACAGTTGAGGAATAATATCGATGGATCATTCCTCACTTCAGTCCCTTTTCTTTTTCTTTTTTGTTTTTAAGATTTATTTATTTTAGAGAGAGAGACAGAGAGACAGAGCATGACTAGGGGGAGGGGCACAGGGAGAGGGAGAGAGAGAATCTCAAGCAGACTGCCCGCTGAGCACAGAGCCCGACGCAGGACTCAATCCCATGACACTGAGATCATAACTTGAGCTGAAATCAAGAGTCAGATGCTCAACCAACTGAGCCATCCAGGCGCCCTCAAGTTAGAACATTATTATTATAAGTTCACAGTCCAT